GCCAAGTATTATGGCAGGCACTTATAGTCCCAGCTACTTGGGAGGCTGAGGCAAGAGAATTGCTTAAGCCCAAGAGTTTGAGGTTGCTGTGAGCTGTGATGCCATGGCACTCTACCGAGTGCTCACATAATGAGAGGAAAAAAAAGAAGAAAAAGAATATTTTCTTATGTACAGAACAATTGTAAAAATTACAAATTAACATTTGTACAGCTAATGTGGTGTTTATGTCTGTAATCCTAGCACTCTGGGAGGCTGAGGTGGGTGGATTGCTTGAGCTCAGGAGTTCAAAACCAGCCTGAGTAACAGTGAAACTTTGTCTTTGAAAAAAACAAAAAAGCCAGTGTGGCTCAGCACCCATAGCACAGTGGCTACATTGCCGACCACATACACCAAGGCTGGCAAGTTCAAACCCAGCCTGGGCCAGCTAAGGAACAATGACAACTGCAACAAAAAAATGGCTGGGTGTTGTGGTGGGGACCTGTAGTTCCAGCTACTTGGGAGGCTGAGGCAAGAGAATCACTTAAGCCCAAGAGTTTGAGGTTTCTGTGAGCTGTGACATCTCGGCCCTCTACCGAGGGCAACATAGTGAGACTCTTGTCTCAAAATAAATAAATAAATAAATAAATAGCCAGGGTTGTGCCTGGTGCTTGTAATCCCAGCTACTTGAGAGGCTGAGGCAAGAGAATCACTTGAGCCAAGGAGTTTGAGGTTGCTGTGACCCATGATACTGCACTCTACTGAGGGTGACAAAAATCTCAAAAAAAAAATTATATAATATTATATGTAATATGCAGACCTTATTCAGATTTTTCCAATTGTTCCTCTTTTTTTAAAAAAATGTATATATGGGCGGCACCTCTGGCTTAAAGGAGTAAGGCGCTAACCCCATATACCATCGGTGGCGGGTTCAAACCCAGCCCCAGCCAAAAACCACAAAGAAAAAAAAAAAAGTGTGTATTTATAGAGACAATGTCTTGCTCTCTCTCTTCTGCCCAGACTAGAATGCAGTACAAACATAGATCATTGTAGCCTTGAACTCCTAAACTTACGTGATCCTATTGCCTTAGCCTTCAGAGTAGCTATGACTATAGGTATCTGCCACCACAGCTGGCAATTTTTTTTTTTTTTTTGTGGAGAAGGGGTCTTACTATGTTGCCTAGGCTAGTCTTAACTCCTGGCCTCAAATAATCCTCCTGCCTCAACCTCCCAAAGTGCTGGGATTACATGTGTCCTACCACACTTGGACTTACTCCCCTGATTTTTGAGTTTCTTTTAATATCCATCAAATAGCTAAGTAAATTCTATTGGCCCCTTTCTTGTTGAGTCTTTGCTCATTCAGGTTGTTTAATAGAAAATAGTCTTATTCCCTGGGTAACCTTTAGGCCCTTGATACCTGTAGCAAATTATTATAATTAAAGGTAATTTTTTTTTTTTTTTTTTTTTTTTGGGAGACAGAGTCTCACTATGTCACCCTTGGTAGACATAGCTCACAGCTCCCAGCAACCTCAAATTCCTGGGCTTAGACAAGTCTTTGCCTCAACCTCTCGAGTAGCTGGGACTACAGGCGCCTACCACACAATGCCTGGCTATGTTTTGGTTGCAGTTGTCATTGTTTTTTAGTTGTCCCAGGCAGGGCTCAAACCCACCAGCTTCAGTGTATGTGGCTGGCGCATTACTCACAGAGCTATAGGCACCGAGCCATTAAAGGTAATGTTTTATTTTAAGAGTAAAGATGGGGCTCAGCGCCTGTTGCTCAGCAGTTAGGGGTGCCAGCTACATATACTGGAGCTGACAGGATCAAACCCAGCCAGGTCCTGCCAAACAACAATGACAACTACAACCAAAAAAAAAAAAAAATAGCCAGGCATTGTGGCAGGCTCTTGTAGTCCTAGCTACTTGGGAGGGGAGGCAAGAGAATGGCTTAAGCCCAAGAGTTTGAGGTT